CATGCTGCCATGTTTCCCTGTGAGGTTCCTCATCAGAGGAAGGGCCTGAACCTTTAGAACCAGATGATCTCCCCAAATAGGTCATCTCAGAGGATCCTGGCACCACTCAAGACACATGTGGCTTCTCATGACTGATACCTGCTGATCTGTCCCTCAAGAGGCAAAGCTCCCACCTAGCCTTGCAGAATGCCAGTGCCGTAAGGTTCAGGCTAGGATGCTAGCCAGGCAAAGGGAGGGGTTCCTCATGAGTAAAGGAACCCATGATTAAGACCTCCTCATAAAGAAGCAAATAAGGATCTACCTGAACCTCTTTGTTTAGAATCAAGCAATCCAGTTTATCCAGACAACAGCCTGGCTCCAGGTTTAGTCAGAGCTGATCCATTGCCATCAATGGGACAAGTTAATCATGACTAACATAAGACTTATTGATTCCAGTGGGTCTGCTCTAAATATGACTGAATCCACATATTTTCTCAGTAGTTCTAACACAGGTTGCCAGTGATATGATACCTTAACAAAAAACAATACAGTGTTTAGAACCACTGTGATGCATAGGCAATTATTCCTGTACATGCTCAAATTCAATATTAGTTGGGGATTTGCAGCATTCACATGTAGTCAGTTTCCATTTATGTTATGCCACATTCTCCGATTATTATCTATGGACTGCTAGTGGTAGTAATCATTTTGCCAGAAAAAGAAGAGTTGCAAATCTATTACCTTGTACTTCTGAAAGCATTTACACACCCAGTAAAATAAAACCATCACCGCTGGCATAGTAACTGGAAGTATTTGGTTGTGCATATGAGTTATAAAAAGTTTCCCATAAATATATCACTTCTTTACAAAGGATTGTAGGAAGTCACAAAGATGCAGGACTTAACAAATACCTCCCAAGGACCATCTTGACTTTTAAAAAGTAATACTAAAAGGAAGTACAGCATATGACACACTGCTTTGAAGCAGTGAAGCATTTGTCAATACGGACATACTTTGAAGAAAATGTAGTCTTTCAGTACATGATTTTTTATTTCATTTTTGTTCCTTAATTAACTGAATAACAAGGCACAAAAGGGACCAAGGAAGACAAAAACCCCAAAACAGACCCCAAACCCTCCACAATGGTATTGATTTCTTCCTTGAATATTATTGATCTCCTTCCAAACTAATTGGCTCTTGCAAAAGCAAATGTAAAGCATGGAAAATTCATGAGTGGTACCGAAGCACTTTTATCATTCAAGTACTATATATCTCAGTCTGTAAAGAGAAGACTCACCTTGCTGCTTTAATTATCATTGCTGTGCTTGACTGATAAGCTGAAGACTGGATGTCTCTAAGTTACTACCTCTGCTTTTGCTTTTCCCTTTAATCACAATGCTTCTACATTTTCTTTATAATTCAACAGTATAACACGTTGGAAGATCAATGCATGAAGGCAATCACAGAGCACTTATTCAGTACATATTGAAAAACTGATATGGATATTAATTATGCACATACATAACTGACTTACACTGAGTCCCATCAGTGGACAATCTTCCCTAAGTCTTCTACCCTGAACAGCAGCAGCTGTCTAGAATCTCAGGCTGGTATCATTTCTCAACCTGCTACCTGTGATTCTTCTGAGTGAAGATGGGCTTCTTCTGCATAGGAAGCATATGCTGTACCACTGAATTTTTCCAGCTTCTCAATCGGAAACCACAACTTTGGAAGCACAAAGCTAAACAGCACTGGCCCAAGCCACTGAGCACTCTGCAGATGGGGGACCCTTTTATCAATGCCTTGTTATGTTTGGCACATGACAAATTTGAAACAGACCATCTCTCTAAGAAAGGAGAAGTATAATACAGCAAAGGTTTTTGCTCACATCACATAGCAGCTCTTTTGCTATCTTGAGAAGGAGAGCCAAACTTCACCCCCAAATACTGTACCTCGGGATCTGATTTTATTGTATGCTAACCATCCACAACCTGGTACGCTCGAGGTGTTTTGGTTGACAAATCCCGGTATTTATCACCACTAACCATGCTGGATGGAGCAGATGGGAGCTGAGGTCTAGAATATCTGAAGGGCACCGGGTTGTAAAAGGAAGGCTGTTCTAGGAACTGTTCATATATAGCTATCCATTTTAATCTCTGATTTTGTGTGCGTGCATTTAATAAAACAGCACTATGCAAAAACCAATGAATTGCCCAAATGAGGCCTTGTCTGTAAGATGGGTCTAGATGCACTTGCGACTTCCTTGTTAGGAACAGAGGAGTAGATTTCAGCATGACTTGTCACCAGTGCAATGGTGCTTCCAACCAACTTCCTTGTGTATCCTAATTGACTACTTGGGAACAAGTAGTCCACATGAGATCTCCAAAACATCTATGCTTTTTCCCTGATACTCCAGGAAATAGAGACACAGATAACTTAATAAGCGGTGGTGGAAAATATGGGTTGAATTTTACAAAGTTCAAGTTAGATGACTGTTTTCAGGCATTTAGAGGATATCAGGTTGGGGAAGCAGTTCTAGACCTCAGTTACCTAATATAAAATTGTTGGCCAAGGTGATTGGGAAGGTGGTGGTGACATAGCTTCAGAGGTTGTTGGATCATATTGCTTATCTTGATCCTTATCATCTGGATCAAGGCCTCATATTGTGACTATACCTAACTTAGTTTTTCTTGTGGATGAAGATGGAAGTGAAGAGCCTGTTTCTCATGCTTCTAGTATTATCAACCATGATGTCTTTCTAGCTTGCCTAGCAGGATCGGAACTATCACACAGTAATGATTTAGGTCCTACCTGTCAGGTATGTCTTGGTAAATGGTGCTTACGATCTCCTGCCATGACCATGGTATTGATCCCAGAAGGTTCCAAATTCCCATCTTGTCCACTGTGTTTTTTAACAACTACACAATTCCACTGGGAAAAAAATTTCAGAGCACTGGGGTTAATTGTCATCAGTAAATTCTATTTCTCATGTTCAGCATGAACAAATCAAGTGGCAGATGCCTTAGGCTGGTGCCCAGAAACAGAAATTTAGTAAGGGAAGCTAAACTAAAGTGAAGTCTGGAGAAGTTAGAGAGGCCGATGATAGGAGGTCTGATGCATCGTGAAGTTAGTGGATAGCCTGTTCTGGTTGAAATTGCACATCCTGAAGAATCAGATGTACTATTTGGGATACTTCTGGCCCTAGTGCTGATCCTGGAATTTCAGGTGGTAGCCATGACCACGGATGGAACTTAACAACAGAAGTGAGTTCATCAACTTCTAAGTCAGTTCTAAAAACAGTTCCTACATGGGGAATGCTGAGATTTGTAGGACTTTTCCTGTCTAAATATGCATAGGATTGATCCCTAAAGCTCTCCTAAAAGAACACTTCCTCCATATGAGCTTGACTCCAAAATAAGGTGAGCTGTCAGCATCCAGCTCCAAGGACCATAGTAGCACATAAAACCTTTTGTGCAAGGGCATTTTTATTACATAAGGTTATGCAATGGGGAGAGGGGGAGAATTTGGTTCATTTTAAAAGCCATACTCATTTTATCTCAATTTCAGTTGCTTTAACTTTTCCGTGTAGCTTCATTTTAATTTTTCCATCCCTTTCTGTGAAGGTCTGTCCTGATTTCTGCTGTCTTCAGTGTCTTCTGTCTAAATGATAGTACGTTGTATTGCTTCTCCCTCAGATTCCAAAACTGCCAAATTTCAGGAACATGGGGGTGGGGGGAAAGCAAAGCTGAGAAATGATATATATCCATATATGTTTTTCACATTAGATTTGGGTTTCCCATTAGTTTTGCAGTAAAATAAACACAAAACAAAATGGAGGTATATTTGTTTCATTTTTCATTCATTTCAAAGTTCAAAGCACAACACTAATATGGAAGTCCCTCCCCAGTTGGTTTTTTTTCTGAAAAGTTTCATGAAGAGTGTATTGTCTTAAGAAACACGGAAACAAGGTGTTAAGGATTTTTGGTAATAAGTTAGCTTGATTTTTGTGTGTTTATTTCAAAATGTTTTAGTTTAAATTTTAAAATTACTTGGTCTTCATTTTGTTATTGTGCTTGTTATTAGCTGAGGGCATTATGGAGCCATATTAATAAAATATACATGTTTAAAAACCTAATTCATAAACAAAGCACTTTTTAAAAGATAGGTATGTGGGTCGCAGGACACAATTTGTTTTATGGCCCAAAATTGGTTTTCAGCTCAATTTGTGTCTGAATTTGCTTTTTATCAGCTATTCATCCGTACATATGGCAGATATATAGAAATGGAATACCATGTAGGTATGAAGGAAAGCAACATAATACCTCACCTCAATTGCAGTCTGTTATACTCTCCCTTCACTGGCATATAACAAAGGCCACAATCCTGATGTAGGAGTAAGTTTCACTGACCCTAGTGGGACATCTCTCCTAGGAAGTCTACATAGTTTTCCCAAGTGAGAGGCTTAATATCAGTTGTCAATAATGGTATACTCCCTGGCCCTCCTTTTAATGTACATACGATACTAATTTGCATTGAGTATGTTCATAGAAACCTAGCGAGTCAGTAGGGGTCACTGGGTCATCTAGTCTGACCCTCACTCCGCTCATGTAATACCCAACATGTGGTTGTCCAATCCTTGAATACCCTCACTGATGGGGCCTCCAGCACCTCCTGTGGAAGCCCATTCTATGTCTTAGGTGTTCTAACCATCCGGAAGTACTTCCTGGCATCTAACCTGAAACCCAGTTCCTTGAGCTTTGCCCCATTGGATTGTGCCCTGTCCTCCATTGCAGGCCGAGTGTGTATCGTGTGGTTTGATCATCATGTAGGGGGTGACTGAAATCACTAGAAAGCCAACCAGATAGCTGTTTAGGTGGGCAAAAAGCGCTGCAAGGAGCAGTGGCACCTTCTGTGCCACCAAAAGCTAACATGACTGAATGGGAATTCCCTGAAGTGGCACAAAGGTAAGCAGTTTGACAACATTTGCTTCTAACACAAAATTGTTTACTCTTCTGAAACAGAAATACTCTGCTGTGTCTCTCTGCAATATATCTACCGAGGTTCTAAAAGTCATCAATGCAACAGAGGAGCTCATAGCGGAATCTGCAGAACCATGTGACCTCCCAGCAGATTCGTGTGACAGGGGGAAAGGGGACTTCCCGTTAGGTACAGATCCCATCCGACTTGATGAGCAACTCACAGCTCTGGAAGAAAATGTAAGAATGACAGATAACTCTGTATAAGATAACTTCATATATGTAATTATGCCTGCTGAACAAAGCCCTGCTTTTAAAAGATGGCAGCAGAAGATGGGCCTTGCTAGATCAGACCAAGAGTAGCATGGCCAACCACGTGCCTGTGGGAAGCTCGCAAACAGGGTATGAATGTGACAGAACCCATCACATACGTTTCTCAGAAACTGGAATACATGGGGGTACTGCTTCTGATGCTGGAGGTAACACGGAACCATCATCACTGGTGCCATTGATAGCTGGATTCCTCCAACCCAAATCAGTGGCCATCACATCTTCTGGTGGTAAATTCCACCATTTAACTATGTGCTCAGCTTCATGCAATGACAAAGACTTCTGGTATTAAAAAGACAGAAAAAGGCCTCCCTCTCTACCTACTTTCTTGACACTTTTGTACTTCTCTACTGTGTGTCCCCTCACCCTTTTCTCAGTAAATGAATGTATTACTCATCCAAAGCTGTTCAGGCTTAAATCATTTAAAACAGTAAAACTAGCAAGACATGTAAAATACATCCAGCAGCTTAGTAAATGTTTCAGTAGGAACCTGAAACCTAACCGAGGTTCTCCATCATGGTTCCAGTGCCTGTGGCAAAAGTGTGTTTTCGTGTTTGAGCACTCAGATCCCACCTCATCAAATTTATGGTTGGTTGATTGGTTGATTGATTCCTGGGCAAGATGCTTTTCTTTTTAGTCTCACCTGCTTGACGTCTGGGAAATGAGCATTTTTTGGCCTGCCATGCCCACAGTGGCAGCTGTTACATGAACGGACAACCCCGACCCATCATGGCAGCTATTTTTATAGCATCCATGACACACTCCCAAATGTGGCCACTGACCCAAACATGTTCTGCCATAATGCTTGAAAGCATAGCAGAAGATAAACTCTAACCTCAGTGGGTTGCTGTACTTGGTTTCTTAGGTCTACCTGACAGCTGGCAGCGTTTACAGCCTCGAGAGCCAGCTGGATGATCTTGAAGATGCAGCACGCCGAATTAGCAGCGTCACGGCAGAATCGCAGCTTGCTGACCTGGAGGACCAAGTGGCCACAGCAGCAGCCCAAGTTCACCATGCAGAACTTCAGGTGAGACGGACAGCGAAACACTTCATAGTACCTTCAAGTTAATCTATACTTTGTGTTACGCTTATTCTTTGGTCGCATGTATGGTCAGAAGAGATTTTTTTTTCACAATTTCAGTTTATTTATTGTTGACCTTAAAGTTGCAATAGTTCTTTTTGCCTATGAAGAATCACGAACATTTTTCAGACCTACGCTCTAACTTAAGTAGAGAATCTGGTATCTTGTTTACCCTGAAACATTGCAAAATATTCCTGGATCAATGTTGAGTTTATTTACCTGGTGTCAAGTCTATTAGAGTGCAGAATCCTAGGTATGTTCCAACAGAAGCAAGTTCTACAGCACCCAGGATTCTGCTGCCTGAACTGCAGTACGATGTTCCATCAATATCAAGGGCTTGGGTCCAAGGTCAGAAGAGCTATTCCTATACTTATATAACTGGGTATTGCTAAGGAGCATAGTAGGATGTCCAAAACTGAAGAGAAATCTGAATTTAACCATTTAGATGTATGTTATTTATTTTTACATGTTTCTGAGTATATAGGTTTTAATACAGTTAAAGATGGAAAAGTCAATTAACTGCAGTTGCTATTTTAGCCTCTTTGTGGCTGTGCTTCATAAATGTATGGCTTCTTTAAGATTTCAGATATCGAGAGCAGAATTTCAGCGCTCACAGTAGCGGGCTTAAATGTAGCTCCGTGTGTTCACCTGACAAGAAAGCGGGACCAGCAAGCAAACCAGGTGAGCAGGCAAGCCACCCCACCAATCCAGCAAGGAAGAGTCGCATGTCAAAGCAAGCTTCCAGGGGCAGGTGCAAATGCCCACCTGAATGTGTACCTATGTCCATATGGTGATGCTCAGGAGAGCATCACTGAGTGGGCCAGATGTGTCAGCTGATGGCAAATCACACCACAATTCAAGGTCAACTAGCGCTGGATTGGGCCCAGTGTTAGCAAGCATTTCAGATTAACATGTACCAATAAATTGTGTTTTCACTTCCTGCAGATGCACACAATAGACTCATCCAGGCAGCAGAGAAGAAAGCTTCCAGCTCCACCAGTGAAAGGTAATTATTATTTTTTATTATGCCCACAAATAGATAAGCTTTCTTGATGGTACCCAGCAATTCATAGCACAAGTACAATTATAATAAAATTCAAATACAGTAAATATGGCATAGAATGCCAATCTACAAACTGCTAAACATTCTGAGTGCAAGCCTGTGGATTTCCATCATTGTCTGGGAGGTCATAAAATCCTTCAAAGTCAAAAGGTCCTCTAACCTCAGGTGCGAGTGACCAAAGCCCCACCTCATACCCCACTCCAACAGCCAGCATGAACCAAACTTGCTGGCTACCTCTCCGAGAATGGAAATGTGCCTTGGGGAGGAGACTGGAACCATCTGCCTGTGCCCCAGCTTCCTTCCTTCTCCCAGCACTTCCACCTAACAGCCATCTGGATGCAAATGCACAGGTGAGGCCCACTTCATCTTGACCATCCACTGGATGCACATCCGAATGCAGGGGTCTCTGTGCATCTAGGATGCAAGCAAAAGGGCTGCGTCCATGAACCATTAAAACAAGTTCAACAAAAACTAGATCTGTTAAAACAGCCATCATGTCCCATCATATGGCATTAAATGAACGAACAGTAGTGCAAAATACAATGGCTGAACATACCCCTGTTCTCTCAGTCCCTCCTCATAGGACAGTGCTTCCAAACTCTGGATCATTTTTGTTGACCTCCACTGGACCCTTTCTAATTTACCTGCATCTTTCTTAAATCTTGGTGCCCAGAACTGAACACAGTGTTCTAGATGAGGTTTCACTAGTGAAAAGTATAGAGGAACTATTACTTCTCATGATTTGGAAGCAATATTTCTTTAAATGCATTCCAAAATAACATTTGCCTTTTTTGCGGCTGCATCACATTGTTGGCTCATATTTAGCCTGTTGTCCACAATAACTCCAAGGTCTTTTTCGAGTTCTGTTGAGTCACATATTTCCAATCTTGTATCGATGCATTTGGTTTCTTTTTCTTAGGTGGAGGACTTGGCATTTGTCTCTATTTAATATCATTTTGTTGCTTTCAGCCCATCAGTCAAGCTTTTCAAGACTTAACGTCATTCTGTCTTCCAGGGTGTTCGCTATTCCACCCAGCGATAATCATCTGCAAATCTGATTATCATTTTTGTACGTCCTCATCTAAATCATTAATAAAGATGTTGAAGAGCACTGGGCCCAGGACTGAACCCTGTGGCACTCCACTAGTGAACCTCCATCCAGTCTGAGAAGGTTTCATTGACGAGCACTCTTTGTGTCCAATTTAGCAGCCAATTTTGGATCCACCTAATAGTGTTTCTATCTGTTCCACTTTTGTTAGTTTGCTTTTCGGAATGTCAAGGGGTACTATGTCAAAAGCTTTGCTTAAGTCAAGAAGGTAAATTATGCCCACAGTTTTTCCACTGTCCATTCGGTTACCCAGTCAAGAAAATGAGATTAGATTAGCCTGATAGGATTTATTTTTGACAAATCCATTTTGGCTTTTATTAATTCCTGTGTTTTCTTCGTGGTGCTTGCAAAATGATTTTTAAATCATTTGCCCCAGAATTTTTCCAGGGATTGATGTCAGACTAACTGGTCTGTAGTTCTCAGGTTCATTGTTTTTCCCTTTTTTGAAGACGGGGAAGAACATTAGTCTTTCTCCAGTCATCTGGCACTTCTTCCGTTTTCCATGTTTTATGGAAGATAAAGAGCTTCCTGCCTAACAGAGAGACTAACAGAGAGGCAGGATCCATTACCTGTCCTGCAGGGTAGTTTCTGAACAGCAGCAAGCAGGAAGGGTGCCAGGCATCCATAGCCAAGTGGGAGCAGCTTGCCTCCCTCCTCCCACAATGCTCGAAGCATGTCTTTTCTTCTGTTCAGAGATCGTGTGTGTGTGTGTGTGTGTGTGTGTGTCCTTTTTACCTTATGCTATTTCCCTCTCTACATGTTTCCATGGGAAAGATGAGTTTCCCAGACTGATGCTAGTTGTTGTAAGGGTGCTTGATTCCTTCTTGATGACCTTAACGATTATTTCTCTGAGTAAGAGGTGAGTCAGTGCTAAGTGCTATGGATGAGGAAATTTCTAGATGTCTGAGCAAATGGGGCATCCTCCTTGCAGGGCTGTTTTGCCTAATCTCTTTAAGGGATTTAGTTTTGCCTGATCTGTTTTCTCTGCAAGAATTCCAGCATTTATTCTTATCTCACAGTGGCTAGCTAAAGCACTAAGTCCTTCTTCTTGAATGCAAGCCTATCCAATATGACCCATGGCCTGAAATCCCATTCTGGCCCAGGAGCTTATTGTTACGGTGCTGGTATTGATATATACATGCCTTAAAGCCTGACGACAGTGTCTTCTTAATGATTGTGTTGCAAACTGGCAATTTGTATTACTTGGCTACAGTAGCATTAGCAGCAGTATTCTATGTGACTTGCACTTAGAAGCAGCCTCAGCTTAGTATACAAGTTGGAGATACTTGCTCAAAAGTGACACACTGCCCAAACTTGCCATCTCAAAGGGAAGACTGGAATATGCCTCATTTTTACCTGGGAGCACTTTCAAATAAGATATGTCCCTGTGCGAAAAGCAGTGAATTCCAGGAGGAGAATACTCACTTTTGTTGCCAGCGGTTTAGACATTGATGGCTGTGTGTTATTTTGAGGGGACAGCAAACTTACACTGTTATACAAGCTGTATACTCACTACTTTACATTGTAGCAAAGTGTCATTTCTTCAGGGTTGTCACATGAAAAGACGTAATAAAATATTTACAAAATGTGAGTGGTGTACTCACTTCTGTGATACACTGTATATACTACAACAGTGAATGATGATTTGAATCTGCCTTCAGACTTTTGTAAATGCTGCACAATTTGCTACTTCCATTGTCCTATTTAAAACAAGCCATGATTGTGCAGCCTGCTGGCAATTTTTTTTTTCAGGTGAAAACATCGATGCTTCTCCGGTTACTCCTGTTAGAACATTTAACAGGAATTTCATACTTCAAGGATCTCTGACACAAAGAACAAAAAAAGAGAGAAAAAGCACTGCCAAGGATTTGACGGTAAGAGCTTATGCCTTACCTGCCAGAAAGGGCAGTGGAAGCATACAGAAACAAGTTTGAATCTCACATTTCCAAATATTTAAACTTCAGAATACTCTGTGCAAATTTGTGCTGTAAAATGCATACTTCATTTGCACTGAAGCACACTGGAAGTTTCAGCCCTCAGTGTAGTAACTGATAACATTCATATTTTTGTACCAGAAGGTTTGTGGCAGGAATGAGAGAGAGAATTCTGAATCTGAACGTCCTAATTACATTTTTCAACTCCAAAGCCAATGCTGGGAGTTTGGTTCTGAACCACCTGGAGGGTACCAGATTGGGGGTGTCTGGTTTAGCTTGCGAAGAGCTCTTTGGGGTAACCCTTTCATCATTCAGTCCTTTCGCACTCCAGTGCATTTAGCTAATAACAAGTCTAGCCCATAAACCTACTAGCAAAACAGATTTTGTGCTAGTTTGTAGTTGCTTTTTAGGAATTTTGCAGCTTGAGATTGTTCATTTTTTCAAGTAAATATTTTTAAAATTCTGCTTTTTCTGTTTTAGGAACCAACTATAGGGTCTGCTGTAATGTATTAGAATTATGAGATTCTACTGCCAATAACACACTGCCTAAGGCTGCACACTCGAGTGCCTTTATATAACAGCCATTGTACACATCCAATAAAAGGACCCTCAAGAACCCACAATGCCTCAATCATAGGGCTTTGTTTGGATACCTCACTGAGCAAGCTGTTCAAGTCTTCAGCATTGTGGTCTGCTGTTGGAAATTCTGCCTTAAAGTTCTCCTGAGACTCCGAGACGGACACTGCGTTTCATATAAGCAAGGCTCCAGGATTTAAGATGCACTTTTCCTCACATTGCCCGTTGTACTGAAGTCTGTATGTCTCCAAAATACAGTACACTTTTGTATTCTTAACTCATCCATTACTGTCCATCAGTATCTCTTGCGACGGTGGAAGAAAAACTCAGATCGTTCCTCCTGCGATGCCTGGAGTCACTGGCAATCCTGAAACAAATTGCAGGGAGGGGTGGTCTGGGAGGGCGTGGAACGGCTCTAATCTGGGAGGGAAGGTAGTTTTCCATTTGTGATTCAGCTTGCTTTGCATCCTAACATACCTTGCTAGGTACCATCAGAGTGACCGAAGACTATCTGAGAGGATACGTTTTGTTGGTTATGCAGGCTTTCACCTACATGAATCTGAAACCCCTTCCGTCTTCAAGAAATGGCAAAAGCAGTTAGAGACCCAAATATTTTCCCAGCTGAAATCAGTCCTAGCTTTTCTCTTGCGAGAACTGGCCTGAGACTTTACCACTCAGAAGCCTACTGCAAGGGGCAACATTCAAATTGATATGCCGTCTCTAAATCCATGAGTAACAAATACTTACGTTACAAAAGTGATCTATCCATGGTGCATAGGTGACCATCTTATTTACATTAATGCTTTTGAAAGAAGTGTATAGTTACAGTTTCAGGATCAGATTTTGATAGCCCGTTACTGGAAGTGTGATATTGCTTCCTCTGATCTCACCCAAGTGTGGAAGTGGCTTTTGGGACTCCTATCCCAGCAGTTATAATTTCAAGGAATAAGTCTGCTTCAGTTGCCCTGCAGTTGAGACAAGTGAGATTCTGTAGACTCTACAGCCCACTTCCTATGGCTGGCTGGCAAAAACTGGCACTAGACCAGAATCTCTGCTTATCTGTTGTGTTTATGAGCCAAAATCCAGACAGTAGCACATTGGAATGTGTCTAAACAGCACATTTAATTTACTTGCAGTAAAACGACAGTAGTCAAGACTCAGTACTTATCACTATCAAGGAAAGTGGATTTTAATTTTAATTAAATGTTGCTTCTGTGCAAGCACAGAAAAAGGTTCCCCTTACACATGCTGCTCATATCCCTTAATGTCTACACCCCAGGAGTCATAGCTGCAAATGGGCCTATGGCCTAAATTGACAACAAGGGTCAGTCATACTGTGTACAAGCTTGCAACCTTGTGCTCTGTCTTTGCTAACCCTTGAACAATATGCACCCCAGGTTCTATGCTGATAATTAGAACCACCATTAGAAACATTTCACCTGTAAGCATGCATTATGAAGCTTGAAAACTCATCTTCACTGCTCTTTACTGTAAGAACTGAATTGTGGCAAAAAAGAAATTTGAACTGTAGTCTTAAATATACTTTCTAGGGAGTATGCCCCACTAGAGGTTTGCTCTACATGAAGGTATACCTGCAACAACATTAGTTTCATTCATTTCTGTTGGGTTTGCGTATTTCTGGGACCTTAATTCAAATTCCATTGATGTACTCTCACTTCTCTTACTGCAGATAAAATGATGTCATCATACCCATGCATGAAATTCTCGTCTGTCTTTTATAGGATTTGTCAGATGGCAGAATTTTGTCTGCAGTGTATAAAACTCCACATAGTATATGATCTAATCAAAGCTTCTTAACAAAATTAGGGGTCGAATACAACTGTACTTTACTTCATTCCCATTCACATGACTGTGTCTGCACTTGTCCAAGATGCACCCCCATATTCTTGTTTCTGCAGGTCTGCGTGTTAATGAAATGTCAATAATGATGGCTGGTCTACATATTTGTCCGATGATAATATTATTAGCTAATACTGTGTATGTAATACTGAATCCGACATGACTAATTTTAATAGATAACTCTTTGGCTTTCGTTCTGTTGATGTGATATAAAACAAAACTGAGTTTGGAATAGAATGTTTTCCATAAGAGGCATGAAAAGCAACTACAGTGTTCAAATGTTAAAACTATTCAGTCTTCTTTGAGAAAAATGTGTACTGTGTAGGCATTGCAAAAAAGAAATTCCTGCTATATGGCATTTCAATTTTTACAAAGGTTTACTTGTGCCAAATGTGCAAATATTTAATTTACTGTTTTGAAAGAAAACCATAAAAATGTATATGTTATAGCACATGGAAAATTATTTTGTCATCAAGTGATTTCAATCCTTAGTGTTAATATTTATATTTAGATTAATTTTTTTATAAATGAAGAATATTTTAATGGTCAAAACAAATTGAGACAATATGATTCAAGACTGAGTGGAACTTTACGCTTGCTTTGTTGTTATCTGCATTCTTGCCAGGAATTATTGTTAAGAAAAATTATATAAGAGTAAAACAGATGATTTATGGGAAAACTGTATGGAATTTAAGACCAACTGTTGAGGCAGAATATATGTGTTGTATATGCATTCCTATTATAGGCTGAAGGACTGCCTTAACTGGGAAGTTCTTCCTGATATGGCCAAAAGAAAAAGAGTGGAGATGTACTCCAGTCCTCTGAGTACTAGAAGAGACTTTAACAGTGTCTCCTTCAAGCACATCCCAAGTGCCCCCCCATATCCATCCCACAATCCTAAGTGACTCCCATGTCGCCATAACTTAGCTTGCCCATGAGTGTTTGATGCTTGAGACCGAACAGCCAAACATTGGTTCCCTTTCCCCTAAGTAAACACAAGGTACAATCTACTGGGAAGGTTTGCCCTGTGAACTGAATGATAAGACTGCTACGGAGCTTTTACAGATTCTTGTGCAGGAAAACTTTCCAGAGGATTATGTTCCATGAACTCAGTGCATTTGCCTCTTCGTCCATTGCTCTGAGTTGCACCAGACTTGCACTCAGCACAGTTTTCATGTTGCATTAGTAACAAAGGGCCTGAAAGCAAAGGAGTAACCACTGGACACTTTAATAGTGGTCATTACATACATAATACTTTATCAATATGTTCAGTCAGAACACACCAAAATATTGCAGAGTACAACGTAGCGTATAAGATTTTATACAACTGATTTCAAGCACTGATATGTTTTGGTTAAGCTTTTATCATAGCAAACAGTTCCCCCAACTCCGCATGAATGATCACCATGTCCTACACATGCAGATGAGCAGTGCTTTGAGTAAAATCCACTGCGCCCACGGGCTCATTGTGACAAATGCTGGCTTGGACCTGGATCCACATTTCTTATCACCTGGCTCTGCTAACCGGTTTTGATACTGATGTTCTCCTGCTTTAGGGAGTGGGAGATGAACAAGACTGGACCCGTGCTTCTCCTCTATTCAGCAAGCATCATACCTGCAAATCTCCCTGTGCAAACCATTGTTGTACATGAGAATCTTTGGGTTGGGACCCACATATTTAAGAAGCAAATGTGGCTTGCTAAAATATATACAATTTAGAATTGGGGTATCCTTTTAGATCAGGCACAAAAGTTTCAGACCTAAGCACATGTGATTTTCACATAAAGGGGAGCAAAGGAAAACCAGGCAAAAGCAGAAGAAAAAGTAAGATCAGCATAGGTGTGTACAAAGGTACACAAAGAAAAGGAAGTGTCTTTCTGGTAAGTAAAGGAGGCAGGAGCAAAGTCACCAGCCATCATCCTCTCCTCCCAGTGCTTCATGCTCCCGTAAAGCAGTCAATATCAGATCTAAGCCACTGCTTCCAGACATCAGGCTGTTCCTACCGAACTTCAGCTGCCTTTTCCCAAACCTGCCAATAGGTCGAACTCCACGCCCCATGTACCAGAAAGGATCGATCTCGGGACCTGTGAATCGAAGCAGTTGATGGAAAAATGCGTATTAACTCTTTTGGTGGTTACCAATGTGCACTGTGAAGACAGTATGTGGACATGGATGTGCGAGGCACTCAAAGTCCTGCTTGAGATTAATGCATCGGCTGAGCCTGAAGAACTTGTTTAAGGCCCATAGCAAGCTTCAACTGAACCAACTCAATTCTGGGGTGCTCACCAGGCGTACCTGTTGGTTGCAGCAGTTATACAGTCCAGTCACCACTACAGCCTACATTGCATGTTACTTGTTTTCTTTGGCAAAGAAGAAGTTGCATCCTTGCACTTACCTGTATTATGTCAGACACAAGCATAACAACGAACATTTCATGGTAGGAAACCAACTATTGTACAATGAAGCAATGGGTGAGAGGTGTGACCCAGACGGCATCAATACACACTTCTTACAGTGAGCAGTAGGGGCTCATAGGGAGCAAAATATATTGGGCCCTTAAAAAATTCATAATACAGGATAATGCATGAACATGGCAAGGCTGCTAAGCAGATATTCTAATAGCTGAAAAATGCAGAACATGGAGTGTATTATTATTATTTCAGAACCAAGGAGCTTAGTATTATACACTGCATGGGGGAAAAATGGAAAGGTAGAAACTGCTGCCTTTAAGAGCTGCTGGCATTTGCAGAAGTGCATACACTGCTCTCTTTAGAGGTACAGTACCCAGGAGAGGGCTGGTGAAGGTCCCAAGTGCAGAGTCAGTTTCCGCAGGAACTCAAGGGGGGGAGGTTCCATTCCCCCCCCCTCTTTTTTTAGGTGTCTAGCCCAGATAGTTCCAAATACAGCCTTGATATCTGCTGAAATCTTAGAAGCTGGAAGGATAGCTGAGAAAAAAATCTAGCCGTTGTAGGGTGGATGTTGAAGATGCCAGTTGTCAGGGAAGGGGAAATGGAGAGGGAGAGAAAATTAAATGGCTTGTCCAAGCCCGTATCAGCTTATAGTAAGTAATCACATGGGGATTATAGTTGCATCCCTCTAACATTAAATCATTTCTCATCCCTGCACAAGGGAAGAAAGAGAGGAGGAGAACTTTGTTCCCTTCCTACTTTCTAGAAACCTCACTCTCCTTACCACAAAGTGCTCCAATTCAAGGTTGGCAACAAGCCCTGGACTGTTGGTGCTTATCTGAAGAAGGTTTCAAGATTGGAAAGAAAAGAGGTGTCCCTTTTCTGAAATTGCCTTCCAGCTCTATTTTCTGACATGGCTCTTGATTTAGGCAGGGAGAACCCCTGGAAGAGCTCTTGTTTGCACTGGGAATATGCTGCAGCATATTACACAAATGCTTCCTTTAAGCATAGCTAAAATGCCCTCCTCACATTTTACAGAGACCATGTACAACTATTGATGATGTTTGATCATCTAGCTCAACATTTGGGTTGAGAAGGACACCTGAACAACCATCAGTGCATAACATAAGAGCAAACCACATTCCTAACATGAGCAGCCAAGAGTTTGCAACTCACTTCTGTTGTCAATCTGATGGTTGCAGGATCTTCTTTGGCCGGAAGTGAAGTTGCTTGATACTAACAGCACCAAAATGTAGATTCTAATTAACTTTGACGATTTAGACCAAGGAGACAATGAAGAGGGGTGAAAACCCAGCGCAGAAGACCACATGATGAGTCAGCTCTGGAAGCATTAGGCATAAACAAAGAAAAAAGGAGATCGCATAGAAATGCACCAGCTTCCCAACAGCAATGGCAACAGCAATCTCATATTTGAAAAGAAGCATCCCATCATCATCTGGAAATTTCATGCAGACATGTAAAACAGAACTGAACAGCCCATCTTTTTGAATAAATTCACTCATCAATGCACAAAAGTGCATGATTTTGAGTCATTAAGCGTTAGTTCACCCTATTTTTGAAGTCAGTACTGGGGCACTTTTGTAGGCTTCATGGATAGCTAAAAAAACAAACGATCTAGCCCAACGATTGGATTCTTGGCCCAGATGTATAATCCTTATGGAGACCTGGCCTGCTTAGGTCAGCTTATGGTCAGATCAAATCATGGTCAGCTAGGTGCATATAACGAGTGCTGATGAACACCAAAAGAGATGTTCAGGCAGTTCAATGAGGCCCAAACGAGTAAGTGTGGGGATTACATTTTCTCCTTTCTACTTTATTTTTTTCTGAGAACTCAAATTCTGGAATCACAGTTGGCAGAAGTGTCCTTCTGACACTGACTGCACCATCCAAGTGCCCAAACAGCTGGGAATGATTGTCAGAGGTTGGGAATCTCTCATCAACATCACATACATAGTATGCTCAAAAAATGGGTGGGGGGCATTTTCAAATTTGCCACGCTCAGACAAGAGCACGGGACCACCGTTGCATGAGTATGGGAACTGGCACATTCAGTGGGGCAATATCAAGTGTGTCAGAGCGGAGTAGGGACCAGCACTGGACATTCTCCTAAAAAGGTCTCAGATCGGCTTTTCCTTCTCTTTGCTCTCTCTTGACACATACCAAAAGCAAGCTCTCAAAGGAAAGCAAATGATCTTTGCTCACAAAAAGAGATGACAAATTTATAGCAAACTCTTCATTCCCAACAATGTTCAGGGTGATACACATCTTGCACTTATTTCTGGGATTTTAGCTGCTTAAGAAAGTGCAACATTACATCCCACCTCTTTTTCTGGGGAAAGGGGTTTTTTAAATACTTTCCTAAGCAGCTACAGTCTCAAGAAAAAACAAACCATGAGCACCACCTTGAGGAGTTTTAGGGGTAAAAAAGCAGATGAAAAAAGGAAAGCTCTTAAAGGGTTGCACTATCCCCTTTTCACAAGCAGCAATCACTTGCACCTTTGCTATCCCTTGATAGCTTAGATCCATGCCCAGGGTTGGCACTGCCGCACTCTGAGAGCAGGGACCCCTTCTCCAACATGGCCTATCCAAGGCCCCGGATTTCCACACTTGTGGAACCAAACTCCTGTGCAGGTGTGCAAGTGTGGCTGATTCTTGCTTTATTTTAAAAGATAAAGCAAACATGTTTGCATACAGAGCATGCAAAAAAATAAAGTTTGCTAATCAAGGAGCAACTCCAATGGGGATCTCTGGACATGGGTAAAGGGGCAAGTGAACCAAACATGCTCATGATCATGGTGGGAAGTGGGGACAAAGTGGCCCTGCTGTGATGTCTACTAAGAAACCTTCAGGAGGTCTGAAGGGCAGGGCAGAACCCCAGGCACTGAGGACCAACAGCCCACTGTGGCTTATGGCCTGGGTGGGTTGGTGGGATGTGTGAACTTCCCCACTAATATGGAAATCCCAAGCCTGGTTTTAGGTTTCTGAAGGCCCATGGGCAAAACTCCTTTGATGGGAGGGCTCCCTCAGTGAGCCCCCATTCTCCCTGCCATTTTCCACAGCTGCTCTTGCTCCTGAGCCTCTTTCTCATCACTGCTACCCCTTGCTTACCTGACAAGTGGAGAAATATGAAAAACCAGAAAGCATCCAAAATGGATCAAAACTGATATAGCTAGCCTCAAGAAACCCAGGCTTCTTGAAGAATAAAGGATGTTCCTAACTTCTTGAGACTAGTCCTGTCTTGACTGAAAGCCCAGATCCTAGTGAGCAAGTGGGCAATGGCATCCCCTGCTCCTCCACTGCACCCCTGCTGTGGCCAAGAGGCAGGCGAACAAGCAGCTTGCAGTGGTAAATTGGAAGAGTAATTCCAGGGGAGCATTGCCAGGGAGCTCCTGCTGTGATGGGGGTGCTCAGAAGGTGCCCAGGCTCACCAGCCCTTGGCACCGGTCCTGTCTGAGTGGGGAGAGGAAGATCCGCCCCACAGCCACCTCCATGTCCAGGACCCTGCCAGTTCACAGAAGTAGGACAGGAAGTGGGGAAGGGTTTTGCCAGTTCCTTTCTTAGCAGTTTTACCTTGTCCTTTGCCTGAGACAGCAATCCTGTGCACACATACTCAGAAATAAGTCCCTCTGAGTTCGATGGAACTCAGTCCCTGGTACGTGTGTGTAGAATTGCAGCCTAAAGGAATCAAAGTAATGCTGTAATCACTTTCTAGTGAGTAAATTAGTGGAATTGCTCATCCACTTGATCTCTAAACATCATTCACACACAGGTCAAATAAATGGGAAGCCAAGCTATTTTTCATTGAAAAAGTGAAGAACTGCAGATAAAATAAATAAGTGCTGGCAAAAAAAAAAAAAAAAACCCCTTTGAAGATCAAAAAAATGTACAGTGTGGCTACTTCCATTACCCAAGCAAAATTTATCTTTTTTCCTTCTTTTTCAGCCTGTTAATTAACACAGATGGCTTTCCTTCATCCCTTCATGCATTTTCTTCCCCTCCCAGGAACAGAGGTGAGGAACTGCCCCCCCCCCAAACCCACACTTACCTGTTTCCCCAGGGCTGCTCCGCAGGTAACTGGTGCCCCAGCAGAGCCATAGCCAGACTTTTTATAGCTCTCTGGTTGGAGGGGTGGCGGGGAGGGGTGGCCACGTCAGTGGCATTGATGAGCAACATTGAAAGACAGGAACGTGCATTCCAGTGATGTCATTTCAAAAGCAGATCGAGAAGCAAGCTTGAAGAGCTGCTGACAAAGTGTGGGGGGAAGCCACCTTTGCAGCTTTGCATGACCCACTCTGTCAAAGCTGACCCACTCCCTGAGAAAGGAGCAGAAAGAAAGGTGGGGGGGATAAGCTCTATTTCAGTTTCGTCAATCTGTTCAGGGCTGAGAAGGAAGTCATGTCTCATGCTGCACTCTGCTCCCAACTAATGTCAAGGTGCACAGAATTATATGATTCAGTTTGTTCATTTTATTTATTGAAAGGATTGAAAGGCTGCTGTTCAGTTGAAGTTCTTGCAGCAGGTTACACACACATGTACACAATCACGTACACTAAAATCTGTTCTACTGGTAAAACCTAGCGGCAGTGAAATTCCAGCAAATGTACAAAGATTTAAAAGGTGTGGAGAAATGGAAGGTTTTCACTGGGAAGACAACGGGAAAGGCACCAAGAAAACTTCCTTGGCTAGTGTCGAGTGTCAGGATTGCCGAGTGTCTTATCCCTCTATAAGTACCTCAAAGGCTGTCAGAAAGAGGAAGGTCAAGATCTCTTCTTGCTAATGCCAGAGTGCAGGACATGGAATAATCAATTCAAGTTGCCACCCAGATTCAGGCTGGACATCAGGAAGAGCTTCCTCACTGTCAGAGCAATGTGACAGTGGAACCAGCTGCCTAGAGAGGTGGTGGGCTCTCCCACACTAGAGACATTCAGAAAGAAACTGGACAGTTATCTGAATGGGATGGTGTAAATAGGTGTCCTGCAACAACAGAGGGCTGGACCCAATGACCTTCATGGCCCCTTCCAACTCTACTATTCTATGAGTCTATGATTCTATGAGAATGAGGCAGCTTCAGGGGTCCATCTACTAGCTGAGCACTGGAATAGCACCCCAGTAGTTGCAGAGTTATTCCCTCAACTGACTGCAGCTGCCAGGGTCCTCATGTGGACCACTTGGGAGTCCTGGGGGACAGCTGGCTCTTCCCTCCCAAAGCTGCCTTAGTAATGAAGGTCAACTGCCCTTCCCTGAAGTACCTACTCCTATTTGTGTGGCCTCCCTGGTGCCTGACCCCTGGCCTGCTAGGCTAGGCTTTTGCTCATTGGACTAGACTTAGCTTGTTCTTCTGTCTGTTCCTAGTACTTGCTTAGGATTGGTGTTTGGACGTCCACCTGGGTCCTGGTGCCTGTGTTGGTCAGTCAGCTGCTCATGCCCTGGGCATTGACACCACGGTCTGGGGTGTCACTTGATGGTCAGAGCCAGAAGCCCACTGTGGCATTTGCAGGATTGCTCCCGGGCCCTGCTAGGGCTCTCAGCCTCCTGAGGGGTGCAGCTGGGAGTCCTGGGGAAGAACTAGATAAGAGCAAGGACTGGCTCACCCACCCACTGGCCAGTAAGTATGCAGAATCATGCTAGACATGCCTTTTCTTCAGGGAAGCTTCTCTTTTTCAACCGATACATTTTATTTAGTGTTTCCTTCATTGAAAATTAAACAAAAACAAACCTTTCAAAAACACTGTCTAAACACTGTTCCTCTCCCATTCCTACATTGGGTTACATAAAGTCTACAGCCTTTAGGATGTATATTGGTTCTACAGAAAATGTTTTCCCCTGAGGAGAATGGATTGGGATTCTCCCCGTGTTATTTTTATGCTCTCTCCCTGTTTCCAGAACTAAACAAGGAGGCAGACACATCATTCAGCCAATAGAAACAAAGCAAGCAGAGGCTTTCCTGATGCTTGAGTGCTGAGGGCACTAAAGATTGAAGGCTAGAAGGGCCATTCCCAGGGCCACTCTTCCCAGGGAATGATATGGTGTTTCTATGCCAACAATAGCCAAATGGAGAACCTGAGTCCGGATGATTGAAGAAGACATTATGAAGGATGAAAAGCTTTGAACAGACCATTGATTCCTTCCATGTGTCAGAAAACTCATCCTGCCACGCAAACAGACTCACTGAGATACAAACCAGAGTGCATCTTTTCTGTTGCACCCTCCAAATTGTGGGATGCCAATCTTGGGGGAGGGTGGCATGTGGAAATAGTTTTGCTGACTTTCTGGCGAATTGTAAATTGAAGCTGCTGTTTGTTTTACTTTTCATATTATGTTTAAAGTAGCACTTTAATATTGTTCTTTACCTTGTTAGTAGTTCAAGAATAAATCCTGCCAGATTAACGTGATATTAAACTCTTGGTTGGACTGTGGGAATGGTGTGGGCATGCTGACTTTACTAAAGCTTTTGATGAAGTGTCCCATGATATACTGATTAGCAAACTAGTCAAAAGTGAGCTAGATGGGACAGCTACCAGATGGATCCACATGTTGCTACAGAATTAGACTCAGGGTGCCCGTCAATAGTGCCTTTTCAAACTGGGGAGAGTTAACATTGGGTACCTCAGGGTTCATCCTGGGTCCAGTACTGTTTAACATGTTCATTAATGATTTGGATGAGGAAGAGCAGGGAATGCTGATAAAAGTTTGCAGAAGAAAGAACATTGATTCAAGGTGATCTTGATAAGTTGGAGCTCTGGCCTGAAGACAACAGAATGAAATTCAATAGGGACAAATGCCAAGTTGTGCACCTAGGAAAAAGAAACCAAATGCACAGCTACAAGATGGAGAATTCTTGGCTCCACAATATTGTAAGTGAGAATCTGTTGTAGATCATAAGTTGCATATGAGTCAACAAAGTGATATGGCTGCAAAAAGGACAAATGCTATTTTAGGTTGCAGTAATAGAAGTACCACTTCCAAACAACACAAAGCACAAGTTCCCTTTCACTCAGCTCTGGTTAGGCCTCATCTAGGATAATGTGTCCAGTTGTGGGCACCACAATTTAAGAAAGATGCAGACAAGCTGCAAAGGGTTCAGAGGAAGGCAACAAGGATGATTGGAACTGGAAACAAAGCCCTGTGAGAAAAGCTTGAAAGAACTGGGCTCATTTAGTCTCAAGAAGAAAAGACTGAAGGGAGATAAGATAGCACTCTGCAAGTACTTGGAAGGTTGTCACAACAAGGAAGGCCAGGCTGTATTCGTGATAATCCCAGAGTGCAGGACACAGAGTAATGGGCTCAAACTGCAGGAAGCCAGGTTGCAGCTAAACATCAGGAAGAACTTTCTGATTGA